CTTAAACCCACCCCCCCCCCCCCCCCCCCCCCCAAAAAAAAGAGGATGCATGCAGCTCTGTATGCTGAATTTAAAACACATTGCAATTACTGAATAAACATTCAATGGGTAAAATTAAGCTTGCCTTTATCTCACTTCCTGGTTTCTTGAAGAACTGGTGACGCCGACAGTGTCAGCTGCCCCCCTGGGAAAGCTATGTCAGGGCTCAACAAATTGCATCCTGGCGCCTGGGCTTTTGTCAGCCTCTTCACTGTCCCCCACCGCCACCTCTGCTCCCCGTTCTCCTCCCCGCTGGGGTCTGTGTCCACTTGGATCCTACTCTCCCTGCATTAGCAGAGGCAGCAGGGATCAGACAACAACCGCTGCAGCCGGCAACAATCGTGGAGGAGAGACTGCTGTGACTCTGTTACCTCCGTTCCTCCAAAGCTCGCCCTCTATATGGAAGGAGCTTGCACCTTCTGCAAATGATTGGAGATGAAGTGGTCAAGTATCTGCAACTATTAAAATGGCGACCAGATTTCTCACCACTTGACTCAGTGAAAGCTCCATCTAATGGGGTGGGGAACCTCCGGCCCTCCAGCTGTGGTAAAACTACAACTCCCATGAGGCATTGCAAAATTCTCACAGCCACCACTCCGAGACAGATGCATCATGGGATTTGTAGTTTCGCCACAGCTGGAGGGCCGGAGGTTCCCCGCCCTTGTAATAAAGGAAAGCCTTCATTATCTTTAAATATGTAGCAGATACTTAACACGCCTGCTTTAGTAGATACTCCGTACATAGATAGTACTGTAATGAATGGCCGTCACTTTATCACCATGCAGATCTTGGCAACTGCAGAAAACACAGAGCACTTTAAAAACGCAATATCCTGAACCTCAAATGGTAGTACAATTATTTAGTGCCATGTGGAACAAAAGCCATTACATTTTCCATTCACTAAATGGCTGCTTGCATTCCTTACATCCCACAGAGTGATGAGGCAATTATATAGAAGTACTCGGGGCAATCAGCACAATGAATATAGATGTACCATCATTCTTCCTAGTCACAACCCTGAGCAATGGAGGTAGGGATCTATACAGAACAACTTTCATAGACCACAAAACATGTATATTATACAGCACTACAACTGCACAACACAGGGGTCATAGGCACTGACCCAGACACACAAAATCCAGATGTTCATGGCTCCTACTGTCACTATGCAGCCGCCTGTTGGCAAACATGCCCATGGCTAGCCCAAATACTAAAAATACACCATCACTGCTACTCAAGGGCTGGCCAGAAAAAGGAATTCAATGTTATTTTTCAACAATAAGTGTTTTAATTACATGGCAGCTGACATGCTAATCTACAGTGTTGACAACTGACAGTGTAAATGGTTTACTCGCAGTATGACACAGAGGATTGTCACCTTACATTATACAGATGCATCTATCCTTCCTGCAAGGTAGAAAACCAACACTGCTGGAAACATTTACCCCAAAAGCAATCAGACTCTCTCCTGGCCTGGAAGACTATTGGAGAAATATTATTGTCCAGGCCTGCTAACCGGATGAGTGAAAAGGGGCCAATCCACTCCAAACTAACAAGTAAAGTTATGTATGCAATTCCTTCAGAACAGATAGGAATATGTAGAGATTTTTATATTTAATGCATTGTGCCGGGTCTTCCGCTAAGCCAGAGGCTGTACTGATGCTGTGAGAACATCAACAGCAGCTCACAACCACATGAAATGGGCTGAATGTACCGGCACGCCACGCATCGTCATGTAGCTGGTACTGCTGCAAAGATGTGCGACCACTAAGGCAGCGTTGTCACCCTAAGAACAGGATAGTGGCAGGATGATCAGGTGAAAACAAGAAAAGAAGTGTGCAATGACCAAGGATAATCCTACAAGAGATGGAGGAGGGCATTGTATACATACACTTTACACAGCTACTGCTTTCAGGGCCTTTAAGGCCTCATTCACAAACCTGCCATTATAGGACATTTATTTCATAAAATGGTTTTTAATGGAATTCACAAAGCGGGGAATTCATCAATACTGGAGCAGAGCCCGGAGTAACCAATCAACTTCTCTCTTTAGTTTGCTGAGAATGAAAGATAGAAGCTGATTGTGTTTACCTGTGTTCCATTTAGCAAACAGAACTCTGTGCATCCGGGGGCAGATTAGATACTCGGAATGTGGGAAAAGCGGAACTCCAGGCAGGTATGGAAGGCACACATTTCTACAACATTGTAATCATTAATAGGTCATTACACTGTTTTAAACGCAACCTGGATTTGTCTTGGAATCAGTCACTTGCCATGTCAGACTAGGGCAGGGAGAAGAGGCACAAGAAACCAGTTGTGCTGCAGTCCAAGGAGCTTGCTTATAGAAGACAGCAGTGTGACAAATAAGCTCACCGGCCTACTGCTTCTCCTTTCAAGGTCCAGTCTCAGATGGGGAACAAGACCTGTAAAGCTGGCCATACACTGTGTAAATTTCAGCTGAATCTTGAGGAACTGGCCGATATTCACATAAAGGACTGTCAGGCCGGCATCCCTCGATCAGCTGATCAAAGGAGGTTAGGAAATCTTTGAAGTAACAGAGCAGGCAGCCAACCAGTCAGGTATTCTGGTAGCAGCTGCCATCAGAATACAATGAAGGCAACAGGAGATTCCTCAATCAATGCTTGTAAGCACTGGAGGACTCTGTTCTATTTTCTTTGCTCAGCCCGCGGATTGAACGAAGAGGATCTTACTATGTATGGCCAGCTTTAGTGTTATTTAAATGCAGAAGAAAAGCAGCTCTCTTGCCCTGCCAGGCTGGGTTGTGCTCTGTGGCAGAGCTGTGTAAACCTCAGGATTGGATGGACAGAGATGTAAACCCTTTGGCAGGTGAAAGTAGCAGTCGTGTCACGATTTCATCTGTCTGCCTGGAGCTCAGCTTTGAATACAGAAGAACTTCGTCTGGGAAGCAGAACGTTTGTTTACACGTCCCAGATCAATGTATCGGTGTTGAAATCAGAGAGGCAAGCATGATTGTAGCCTAATAGTAGACGCAGGTTCCCAAATAACCTTCTCAAGCCAACCATTACAAGGTCCTGGTGTATACACACACATTACAGGAAGTACATTGAGACTATACGGTAGGTGATCAGAGCCAGGAAGTTCTGTATCGGAGATCCATAGAAGGAAGTCTCAGGAGGGGGTTAGATTGCCCCCAGTCAGTTTACCTTTTCCACACAGACATGTAACCGTGCCCTTCCTTCCCCAGGGACTCCCCCCACCATCTCATCTCCTGGCACTTACTGCCCATCCTCCCAGCACAAGGGCAAACCTTCCCCTCCCCCCCATAACCAGTGACCGGCTTCTTACCTGCAGTGAGCCGGGAGGACACCTCCCCGAAGGGAGAAGGCTCCATGCGGAGGTATTTCTGTGGGGAAGGGCCGGAAGGGGAAAGGGGGGCACATCTCCTTCTCTTGGGGGAGGCGGCCGGGCTGTGAAGGGGGTCGAAGTCGATAGTCCTTTTGAGCGTGGCTCCGCAGGCCATGTCCTGAGCAGAGAGCACTGGCCCCTACCCCAGGGACAATATTGTCGTAGCAGCAGTTCTACAGGGCCTCCTAGTGCCGCTCCTCTCCCAAGAGCTCCCGGCCTTCCTGCCTCGTCCTCCGTAGTAATACTGGATCGGCCGGCTAACAAAGAGCGCCTCACACGCAGAGGAGTAGACGGTGAGACCCTGGGCTCCGGTGCCGGTAAAGATGGCAATGGATACTATCAGCCGCTTTGCTTCAATCCCGTGTCTGTACCAGCCAGCGCCGCTCTCCCTCAGCTCGCAATATGGCGTTAATAACAACGCCACTGATTCATTCTCGCGCAGATACTCGCAGGCGGCGCCCGGTGGCTTGTGGGAAATGTAGTCCTCCCCGCCCACTCAGCTAATTCTGTACGACGAGCAATAGACTACAGGACCGTCATGCATTGCGCTGAGGCCGTTGCTTCCGTGTTTGAATTTAAATCCCCTCTAGTTGTTTTCCCATCGCTGAGAGGAAGTGGCTGTGCAGCTGTGTTAAGTGTGTTCTCTACATAGATGCATCTGGTAAGGTTGTCAGTGAAGAAAATTTGTAGAAAAATGGAAAAAAAACCCTATTTTTTTAGTTTTGGATAGAGCAGAGAGGGATTAGAACACCTTAGATTTATGTATTTGCCAGCTGCACACCTTAAAGCGTTGTGACCAATGGTACCAGAGATGTGCTCTTAGTGACCGCAAGGGACGGCACTGTGCAAAACTTAAGGTATTTAAAGTATTCAGCACTCAGTGATTCAATATGCAAATAAGGTTAGATTTATTGCAAATTAAATCACTTAGATCTAAAATCCAGTGATTTGGGGCCACATAGGGGCCCTTTTTCAAGGTGATGCAGTGAACAAGTTCCTAGAGGAAGGGACCCTGCGAGGCCCTGAAACTTTGGCTGAGTGACCTATGTGATGTGATTTTCAAAAAAGCTAACCTTACATGTGCTGCGCTGTCAAAAACAAATAACGTCAACCCACCTACTAGCAAATAATATATACTAAGGGGGTTGATCACTATGTACTATGAAAAATTATCCAATTCAGCTTACTTTCCAATTCAGCTATGTTGTCCTAGATTGTTCACTTCTCCAAACTCTTCACCCTTTTGTGAATAACCCCCTAAGTCTTCAAAGAACATAATACATAGTGATCAAATACATCTACTATATAAACAATATTAACTTGGGTCAACACAAAGGTATAAAAAGTGCTAGTACAATGTGTTGGTGTACTAGATGTTCGCGTGCATATAAATAACGTGCTCGTTTCCAAATAGTTCATATTTGTTGCAGCAATGCATCAATGATCCGAATAGTTCATATATATTTAAACAATGTATCAGTCTTTACCAATTACTCAAGGGGAAATCAGTGCTGCACCTCCACCATCAGGACAAGTTCTTCCCCCAGGTGTATACCCTCACCATAGTGCTTCTTGCCTTATGGAACGACCTAACAAGAAATACTGAGGGCCCGTTAATACTATCTCCAGTGAGTTCCAGCACGGCTAGCCGCTGGAATGCACTGGATCGCATACTGTAAAGGCTCCCTGCGTTCTGGTGCCAGAGGGAACGTGGTGGTGCATTCAAGTCAATGGCACCGCAGCCACCCTGCCCGCAGTGCGATTGCCTGCACCAGAACTTGTGGAACAGCAATGCCCGTGTTCCTGTCCAGTGCAATCGCAAAAAATAGTACAAGCACTGCAAGAGTTAACTGCTTGTTAATATCTAGGAGACCAGTGTAAAGGCCTTTTACTTATCCCCCAGAAGCAGCATAGCATCCCCAACCCATAGCATTTCTACCACCATGCTTCACAATTGGTATGAGGTTCTTGTTCAGAAATGCTGTCTTTGGTTTGAGCCAAACATACCCACTGTTGCTGTGACCAATCAGCTATCAATAATTTATCAGTCCATAACACATTGTTCCAGAAGGCCTGATGTTTGTCGACATGTTCAATGGAACAGCAAAATGTGAGATTTAGCTTCAAATGGAGAGTTTTCTATGTTTTAGTTCACACAGCAAAGTCCATTTTAGATCATTTGTACCCACTTTTGTTTATCCACATGCCAAATTAATACAGTGTTCTGCCCACACAGGGTTCTTTAGCATAACAAGGATTACAGATGTGTTTCAGCCTCCTGACTATTTCTTTGCACATGCCTGACTATTTCTCTGTAGGACAGAGATGCCCTAGTCTCAGCTTCCCTGCTGAACAAGCTCCTTCATTCACCAGACTGAGCTGATGTCTGCTCACGTACAGACTGCTACTTGCTTGGCTCAGATGCATCAGTCTGTTTCAATGTAGGCTACCTTTGTTACTTTACCGTTTCCAACTCTTTCCAACATCATGAGTGCGCAGCTGCTTTAATATCAGGGCTACCCATAAAGCGCGGATCCACATTTTTTACTCTTTCCAACATCAGTTTGGCTCGGTAGCCTGTCTGTGTAGGTCAGAGAGACATGGACATACGCTCCCCATGTGTCTGGCGTCAAGCTGCTTCCCACAGCACTTGGAAGCAAAGCTTGAGAAAATTCTCTTATGTGGGCAACACCTACCTGACTCCAGTCATCTTCACACGGACCTCTCTTTCCGAAACAGGCACCATCCTTATCTCCACACTGTGGCAGACCATCCATCTGTCATACTTGGTACACCTCCCATATTGGTTAAATTGGTGCAGTCTCTTTCCAAATGTAGATACATGCACTTTGACACCAACTGTTGCAAGAATTACCTGCAGATCCCACAATGGCATTTTGGTGTTCTTGGAGACCTCTTTTAGCATTGGTCACCGTTGGCCTGAATTTGCTGTGCCAGCCAGTCCTAGACAAACTAGCAGTTGAAATCTATGCCACTTGTAGATCCCTGTCCAGTCTTATAGACATCCATAACATTTTTGTGAGCCTTAAATAGTTTTTTGGTCTTGGCATGATGACGCCACACATGTAAATTGCATAGACAACAGCAGAACCTGTATATCCAGGGTTTAAATGAGACAGGTTTCACCTGAATAGCTTCAAAGTAGGTTCTAATCATTGGCACTTGATGTGGAACACCGGATTCAAACTCCATGGATTTAAAGAGGTGATAAATGGAAGGATGTACTTACTTTTTCCATGTGACAAATCTGCATTTTTAGTTATTTAGATTATGAGAATGAACACCATGTCAGTTTTATGTGTCATTAGTTGACGTATACCACCGGTGTCTGCAGGCACTGTTTGAATGAAGATCTAATGTTTGCTTGTTTACATATGTTGAAAAAGTCAACAGTCTCAACAAAATGATACTATGGCCTCCATATAAAAGAGATGTGCTGCAGCACTTAATTGTAAGTGAATCTGCGCTTACAGTTTTTTCTTAATCCCCCTGCGGAGCCCCACATTGAAGTCTACCTAATGCAGCTTCCTGTGATGGTGTGGCAACAATGCTGCACTACTTCTGAATTCAGAGCAGAGTTACCACTCTCCTGTTGACTGTGCCTGATTGCACTATAGTGGGATGAGATGTTGCAGGGGGCAGGTCTAGCAGCATTGTCACTACTAATTGATAAGCCTATAAATCAGCACCTGGCTACACCTAGTCCTGCCCACTGATTTCTGGATATACAGCACTACCTCTGCTGCTTAAAACCTCCCCCTAGGCATGTAAGTTTACATTCGGATGCATCCGAATTTACGAATGGCAACAATAACGAATTGCAAGGAATCCACATTTTTTGATAATGAAAATTCAGAGGCTTCTCAATGTCATTTGGAACAAACTGTACTGTTAAAGTGAAAATTTAAAAAAAGAGTGCGTCCCCCCCCCCTTTAGGTCTGGTAGGAATTTTAGGGGGGACCCCATGCCAAAAAAATTTAGGGGGTCCATCCCAAAGTCCTTTACCAGACCCTGGATCTGGCAGAGCAGGTAAGGGGGGACAATCGTGTGACCACCCACCATCCTGCACCATACCAGAGCACATGCCCTCAACATGGGGACCCCCTGGCAAAGCACCTTGTCCCCATGTTGATTAGGACAAGGGCCTCTTATCCATAAAAGCCTGGCCCGGTGGTTGTGATTGTAGGGGTCTGCGGGCACGGGGGCCTATTTGAATCAGGGTGCCCCCTTTCATTAAGAGGACACCAAGGTGCCACCCCCTCCTTTATTAGTAAATAAACACACCACACAGTTTTTGACAAGTCCTTTAGTCAAAAAAACCTGACAGGTCTGTTATGAATTTGTTTGGAGGGAGGATGCATGGTTGCTTTGGGGGGGCAGGGGTTGCATGGGGTCCCCCCTAAAATTTTCACATTTCACATAACTCCATTCAAATAGATTTGAATTGAGCTGAGCCAAAAAATGTGGATCGATCCAAATTCGACTGAATAACGAACCGAATCAAATTTGAATCTGAAATCCCCCCCAAAACAAAAACAAAAAATCGATCTGAAATTAAACTATTTTCTAGAGCCTTTACATGTCTACCTCCCACTGTAAGCTGCTGTATCTGGGAGGGGAGCGTGTGCAAGAAGGTTTTTTTCTTTACTTTATGAAACTTGTGCATTCACATAGTAACTGGATGTGGTACTTGTTTAGACTATCATACAGAAGCCATTAGTCATACTTTAACAGGACACAATAGTATCTTGATTTTAAAATATGCTGTACTTTGCTGCAGTGTAATTCATTCACATGTTGTTAAAATGTTACATGGATTACTTAGCAAATCATTTCTCATGCTTGTGAAAAATGCGGTGCTAATTAAACTGTTATCTGGAATATGAGAGACAGTATGTGAAGGGTACCATTTTGTTAAATGCTGTATGAAGAACTTTGCATTGCTGGAAGCTAATACAATGCAACAACCGGCTAATGCAAATCAGCAAGCAAGTAACAGACTGTTGGCTGATAAGGTGCTATGGCCATTTAAAAGAGAACTATGGGGTAAGTGTTTTCCCCATAGTTCTCTTTAGGGTCACGGGAGGACATATACTAACCTCCTCCCGTGACCCAATGCTCAGTACATAGCGGGCTATTGCCTGTGGTATAATGGGAGCACAGCAGCCATGACGAATCCCGACAATACTGCCGTGATCCAACCAGCTGCGTGAGTTACAGCTG